GGTTTTTGTGTGTTCCTTGGTTCGTCTCTTATTTCATGGAAGGCCAAGAAGCAGCACACAGTTTCTCGAAGTAGCACTGAGGCAGAATATCGTGCGTTAGCCAATACTACCTGTGAACTGACTTGGCTTGAGCACTTGCTGACTGATTTTCAGGTTCAATTCACACGCCCATCTGTTCTATATTGTGATAACAAGTCTGCTATTTACTTGGCTTCAAATCAGATGTTTCATGAGCGAACGAAACATATTGAAATTGATTGCCATATAGTTCGAGAGAAGCTCAAGAGTGGTTCTATTCGGCTTATGCATGTGAAGACTCAGCATCAATTAGCGGACATGTTTACGAAGCCTCTGCATCCTACTCTGTTTCATTCTTTGTTACAGAGGTTACACATTTCAAGTCTTTTTCTTCCACCAGATAAAGACTTGAGGGGAGGGTATTAGACTGTAAATAACGATTTCCGTTAGAGCGGTTATGACACGTGTACAGATTGTAAAGTTATATATGGGCAGAGCATGTAACAGAACAGATTAACGAATTCAGAAGTTTCTTTCCACTTTCTCTCATTTTCTCTCATTTTCTCAGCACAGAACTTGCGTTCATGATATCCACCAATGCACATACATACACATAATACATACATACACATGCATATATGTAAGTCCCCAATCTCATAAAATCGAAAACCCTAAGCCCCGAAAATCAACACGACGGAGACTCAACTCAAGCGGAGCGTCGGAGACTCGAATTAACGCACGACTCGACTCGACACTTTACGATACAGACTCGACTGGACTCGAAGGCCAACGGAGACTCGACTGGACTCGCCTAATGGAAGAGAAACTCACCGGAAACGACTCGAGAGGATAGAGAGATCGACGGAAGAGATTCGGTAACTCAAACACGCGCGAGAGAGGAGGTTTAGGTTAATGGCAAGGGTAAAATTGTAAATAATTTGAATACTAGGGTAAAATCGTAATTACTGCACAGTAACCGGTACGTGCGAGCTGATTGGGTTCATGAGAAATGGATTTTGTTTGATTCGAAGAAGAGGGAGTTAATATTACTCCGGAGAAGTCGCCCCCGAGATTTATATAGTGTATATATATATATGCACGTTTATAAGTTTGTAAAATCTTTGTGAGTTCAATTGAAAAATGTCCAAAAGCCCAATATTGTTCCTATAATTGGGGAAAAACAATGAGAAAAACAGAGGAAATTATATATTAGTATACCAATTAAATCATAGATTAATCATCGGATAGGAAGTTGTATATGGATATATATATATAACAACAACAACTCACGTATATAATAAAAAGTCATATTCAAGCATTCAAACCTAAAAGAACGAACGGCAGTCCTAAAATGGTAGTCGATATAACAAAAATAAATAATCTGAAATTACACCCGATTTTATATGCATCATTCTTAGGTCCACAATAGAAGTTTGAAAATAAACTAATTAATAAACAAAAATTATATAACTTATTTAACAATACAATCTCAATATTGATTAATTAGTGCTCACTGTAAAACGTAGATGCGATTCCTAGATTGAATACATACAACAACTGTGACATAAACAATTTGAAAACATCAAAACATGCATAATGATTTCGAGTCAGCATAATCCTTAACCAAACCGAACAGAGAATGCATCGTCGGTTATATATATTAATTGCTTGCAACAACGAAGGAGAAGGCCAACATGGAAACCCAAACCCTAATTTTTCTCTCTCATCTTCTTCCTTCCCGCCATTTCCGGCGAACTCGCTGCAGGTGCTTGGCCATATCCGCCTCCTGAATCGGCCGCTCCACCGCACGTTCCTCTCTCTCTCTCTCTCTCTGAAACCCTCGGTCCCGTTTTCTCCCTCCGCCTTGGCAACCGCCTTCTTTTCTGTTGGATATCTCCGACACCCAAGTTTTATTTCAATAAAACCAAATGATTCTGCCTGTGTTCTTAATCTTATCTGCAAGTATTTACTTTGTGTGTCGGTATTTTAGGATCGAAAAGTGAAGATAACTGTTGAATGGGTTAAAGTCTCGTGGTTGAATAGTTCAGAGTTGACAAAAGCTTCCCGCTTGAAATTAGTTCCGGAGTTTTCGGAAGAACAACGCTCCATGACAAAAGAACCGCTCGACAATTTCTCCGCCTCCTCAGAAACCACGTGGTTCGACTTTCTGTCTTTTATGTCCTTTCAATGCTTCTAAATTCCAACTCTTGCCCAAAAAAAAGAAAACAGAAAAAAAGGGGCAAAATAAGTTACGAAGATTTGGATATAAAGCCATTCGTGCTAATACACAGACACACAAAAATAGTATGTCAAGCCATCAAGTCTCTCATTATTGGTACTTTATCGCATAGCTGCAAATAAGAACAAAAAGAAACTATTACATGATGAAAGAATTACATTACTCTCCTAGAATTTACATTCATTTAAACGTTCCGAATATCCACACATATATATATATATATATACTATCACTAATAGTAGAAAATGGAAAAATATCACTAAAACTTAGCCTAAAAAATGTGGAAAATGAAAGAAGATAGATAAATGGTTTTGTTTAATGACCGGCGCCTCTCCTGCTTGGTCCTGAAGCCATTGTATGCATCCTCTCTCCGCCGGCGGCGGAAGAAGCCAAGCCCCGAGACTTCTTGTCGTCGCTCGTAGAACCACCGGACAAATCTTTTCCTTGCAATCCGACCCCGTGGTTTCTTGATCGATCATTTTGGTCCGACGAAGAACTTAAGAGAACTCTTCCGTCTCCGAAACTACAGCCCGAGAAGGCCGAAACCAAGAAGATGATCGTCAAGACAAGGCAAAAGTGTCGCATTTTTTTTTTTTGTGGAAAGGGTATTTAGCCTTTGGAGTTATGGTTTGGTTAGAAAACACTATATTGTTCAAACGATATGATATTTGGAAGGAGAATAATAGTGAGGAGCAAGAGCTTTTTATATATGGGAGAAAGATTCAAAGGGGGAGGAAAAAGAATGGAGGCAGTGAAAGATTGGGTTTAATTATGCGAAAATGTGGGGAATATTTTAATGGAATAAGGTACCGACCCCTCAATGTAAGGGGGATGGTGCAGGCGAATTAGTTAAAAAGGACGGTGTTTGTCTTCTTACTTTGAAAAGTGCACATATTTTTTTGACCCGCTATTTTTATTTTAATTAATACAATTACATTGATACTATAATTCATTTTTAACGAAATTAAAATCAGCTTCTCTCATTTGTAAGACCAACTTCTTGGTGTATAAAATTTATAAATAAAAAAAACTAGGTATAGATCCTTATGTTAGTACTCTTGAAACTTTTGAAAGATTTTGTTTTAATTCCCGAGTTTTTCGTAAACTACTTATTTTAATATAAAAACGATTAAAAGGGTTTCATTTTAACGAGTTTTATGTGACAAACACCCGATAATACGATAGCGATCATATTTGATAATATCGATTCGAAATAGAAATCTTAAGCTATAGCTCTGCGTGTACGCGGGCGTAGTGTTGTTAATGCGTAGAAATAACGTGGGGAGGGAGTGAAAGGAGATGGAGAATTTAAGTTCACACTATCAAGAATACTTTGATCGGAATAAATTGACCATTAGGAATATTTGGGAACTTTGGTTAGAGGAGGAGAACGACCATTAACAAATATAGAAAATAAGAATTAAAGGAACAAAGAAAGGAAGAAAAAAAGAAGACAAGAGTGAGAACGACCAACGATGTTACAAAAAAAAAAACGTATCAATGTGAAGTGGTCCGACCAAAAATTCCGTGGTACACAACACACGCTTGTCTGGACTCCCAACTTATCATTGTAGCTGTCCATTTACAAGCATCTCTCTCTCTCGCTATGTTTACTTGTTCCTTTAAATACGTCACTTTGGTACACGTGACATGGAATTTTGGTTTTCGTCGTTTCATCTTCGAATTTTTCTTCCTTGTTTTGCTGTCCTTCTCTTTTGTTCGATTTTTTTGTTTTGCCCTTTGGCACTAAGTTTGGGCTGTTTTATATTGTATCGATACAGAGGAGTATATGATCATTTATGTCGATATTTGTTATATAATATAATGCGTTTGTCTTTTGATCGAGAAATGAAGCAATATATATATATATAAAAAAGATTTATTTCGGATAAAAATATTTTTTTAATTTAAATGATAATATTTGTATGTATTATATATACATACACATTATAATTACAGATAAATATTATTTTACTCTATTAGTTGTCATCCAAAAGAGAATCCGGGTTTTAGGGTTTTAATCCATGGGTAAACAGATAAAGGCAATGGTTTCGAAGCTTAATGTTAGATGTCAAGGAATCCTTCATTAGTTCATGTAATTTTGAAGATGAATTGAAATTCGAAACTTGGATATGTAAAAAAATTAAAAATTCAGAGACAATATATATATATCATGTTCCGTAAACACGATATTGTGTCATATTTAGTAACATATTTTTGGATGCATTTCGGTAAGATATTTAATTTTTGCAAGTTTGAAACTGTTAGGAGGGTGAAAACAGGGGAATGTATTCGACAGTCTCTTTGCTTAATAATGTTCGATTGGATTTGATTTTCAACTTATAAGCGTAAAAGTTGCACGATTCTCTTCCATCTTGCCTTCCTTGGATTTGCTATAATCAAGCAACATTTTGCGTTTTGCACGTTTTTTTAAACATTTAAGCAAATTGTCTCTTAATTATTTTTTTCTGCAACTTCCACGGTCACAATTTTTTTTTACCGTTCCTTAATTACAACCAAACATGGAATTTATCTTAACTTTTTTTTATTAATAACAAGATAATACGATATTCATATTCGAGGATTTTGGTTGATGCAGAAATAAAGTGTAGATGTCATTTAGAACAAACAGTTTCGATTTAACCATTGAAAACAAAAGTATAATACTATGGACGCATTTTGTTTATCATATAGATTTCACAACTATAGATACACAAAAAAAAAAATAGTTTATTAGAAATTCGATGAAGTTCTTATTAAAATATGCAATTAAAATAAGTTGGTATTATTTTTTTTTAAATGTCTAAGTCCTCATAATGTCCCCAATGAAGGCGTCCAAGTTACGGCTCGATGACCCATCACGCGCCACCGCCATCCTAGCCGCCGCCTTGTGCTCTGCTGCCCTCCGCCTCATCTCTCCGGCCGCTGGCCCCTCCGTCACCGCCGTAATGCACCTCTCCACCTCCGCCGTCTCCAGCTCTCCGCCGTCGCCGTTCCTCATCCGCACTCCGACGCCGAACACGTCGACCAGAAGCCGCGCGTCCGTGGGCTGATCCGTCCACACCGGATAAGCCACCACCGGGACACCCGCGGCCACCGTCTCGGACGCCGCGGTCTGCCCTCCGCCTCATCTCTCCGGCCGCTGGCCCCTCCGTCACCGCCGTAATGCACCTCTCCACCTCCGCCGTCTCCAGCTCTCCGCCGTCGCCGTTCCTCATCCGCACTCCGACGCCGAACACGTCGACCAGAAGCCGCGCGTCCGTGGGCTGATCCGTCCACACCGGATAAGCCACCACCGGGACACCCGCGGCCACCGTCTCGAGCGCCGAGTTCCAGCCGCAGTGCGTGACGAAGCAGGCAACCGCCACGTGGCCAAGCACCTTCTCCTGCGGCCCCCACTCCACCACCTTTCCTCTCCCTTGCCCCACCATCTCCTGCAACACGGCGTCGTTTAGTGCCCTCTCCACCGGCCTTATAACCCAGAGGAATGGCTTCCCCTTGTTCTTGAGCGCCGTCGCTATGCTCGCGATCTGATTCTCCGTCGATTTGAGTATACTCCCGAAGGATATGTATATCACCGATGACGGAGCTTGCTTGTCGAGCCACTCGATGCAAGAGTCCTCTGATTTCCACAGGTCTAGGGTTTTCCCGTTCAGAGCCTCGTCCTCTTTCTCTTCTTCCTTGAGGAGAGATTGCGAAACCAGCGGACCGATCGGGATTAGTGGTTTCAGACCAGACATCGATTCGATTATCTCTGGTTCGAGTTCTTGAAACGAATTCACCAAAACCCATTTCACACTATTCAAGCAATCGACGAAATCCTCCATCAGCTTCCCGAAAACCCCACCGGAAGAAGGTAGAATGAACGAGGGAAGGTCCCTGACCTCCAACAACGGCAATGCCGGTAATTTTAAGGTTTGATTCAGATCATTGAGATCGGGGAAAGCGTTAGGATTCGTGTAGTAACGGTAATAAGCCGAGAAAACCCCGCAGGCTTGGATCCAGAGGACGGCACAGGGGATGCCATGAGCAGAGGCAACTCCAGGAACCCAGGGGGTGAAAGGGCTCGAGATTATGCATGAGAATTTCCTGTCCTTGCTGAGATTTGTGATGATTTCGGACAAGTTCTTGTGGCCGACCTGTCTCAGAGACTCCAGCATTGTCTCGTTGTTCCTGGTTTCGTCGTCCAGGTGGTCGGAGAAGAAAGCAAGGTCCAACGACGGGTTGGGGGTTCCGCCGGAGCAGAGACGCTGGCGAGTTTGTTCGCCGGTGGCGAGGGTGACGTGGACGTTCCTTGGCACGAGGAGTTTGGCCAATTTCAGCATCGGGTTAATATGGCCTTGCATCGGCAGTGTCACCATTAGAACATGGGTTACTTCATCTCCACGGCACCCCATTCTCTTTTTTTTTTTTATAAATAAAATGTATTATTTTATATGAATCTTTCTTATTTTAAAAAAGATAATGAAGCTGTGGAATTGTCATGTGTTTATATAGTGAGTATTGTTTTAATAGTTAATTAATTTCATCTCATGATTTTGGTAACTCAATCTACGACTATTTGGTAAATCAAATCTCAGTTGATGCAAAAATTCAAGAGTCTAACATATCCTTAATATCCTTAAGATTTGAGAAATGAATCTGGCTAGATTTCCAATTATAAGCCACTTCAATAAAGTGATGACATGGCAATACCAATTGAATGCATCACTTATTTCTTTTAGCCCATTAAACCGTTGGGCTCGTTTAATTTTTACACTTTACGGCCCAAATAATTCGGTCCGATCCAAATCCTAAGCAAGCCGGACTTTATGTCATGTCCATATATAAAATAAATATAAGATTTCCGACGTTCAAAAAAAAAAAAAAAAAAAAATCAAAGCACAAACATGATTACGTAACAAAAAACTTGAAAAAAAAAAAAGTTGGAATTCAAACACTTTTACAAGTACTACTATCAGTCGTAGGAGGAGGCTTCGGTCTTTGGTCTATGTATCTGCTCTTAACGTTCTGAACCCATCTGCCGTCTGCTACAAAACAACCGACCAACGATTATTATACTCTCGTAAATTAATTAATCTCTCTAATACCCATTTCATATGTATTTTTGGTTTGGTTCTTGTTTAATTTCAGTTTAGTTCTGGTTTATCTTTTGATTCACACAAGTCACAAATTTATCAAACCGAAATAACCCGAATCTGAAATAAAAATTATATTAAACCGAAAATAAATAAATACCCGATCGAGTTCATATTTATAGGATCATTCTAGTATTTGTTCAAAGTATGCTCTTATCCTATGTTTAAATCCAAACGTGAGGAGGGATATTAAACTGGATTTTTCCGATCTTTTGGAAAAAATAGTTGGGCCAAACACACGGTGAAGATTATAAAAAAAAATTTGTTTTTAAAATTCTCTGACAAATTGTAAAAGACAAACACTTTGGGAAGCAGCATGGTGTTTTCCCACGAGGAAGCAAATTCAAAATATAATGTGTTTTGGTTGAATTCCAAAGTCATAAAAATAGTGTGTACTCCATCTGAAAAATTCAACCTTTACTTCCCCTCTCCGACACTATAAAGCTAAGCCCTCCCTCCTTCTTCATCTTCACACCAGCAAATCAATTTCTTCACTGTCTGAAACCCTAAATCTCCATTGACACACATTTTCTTCCCAAGATGATGAAAAAGGTCATAGCTTCCGTTCTCTTCTTCATGGTGATGGGTTCTATTCTTGTGGAGGCTCGTCCGCTCGGCTTACCAGAGGCCGGGGAGAAGCTTGTGGCCGGTTTTTTCGACGGTCTGTCGCTCGGATCCATCAAGCAATCTGGTCCGAGTCCGGGAGAAGGTCATAAATTCACGGACCGAAGGAATACACTCGGAAGTATTAAGCCCTCGGGTCCTAGCCCGAGCGGTCCTGGTCACTAATGGAATCGGTGGCTCGCCCGCTTTAATGCATACGTTCCGGTTTATTGACTACCGGTGTCTCATTCCATTGTTTTTTTTTTCTATTTATTTATTATATTTCTTTAATTAACTAGTACATTATTCAGGCTCATTAGTACAGGATTTATTTCGTATAGGATTTATTTCTTTTTTAAAAAAATTATTTGAATCATTTCTGATGTTTGTACTGCACAATAAAATTGATGTATTCATTTGTTCTTCTGATAAATTAAAGATAAATATTTCCGGCTATTTATATTTTTATCGTTATAAAAAAAACAGAGCGTGTTTCTTTTTTTAATTCATAGAGATAATGTATAAGTATAACACATGTATGTTTTTTAAATTATGAGAATGTTATATGTTCCACAAAATGCGTCCATCCAAAGGAATACCAAATAAGAAACAAGTAACATCCTTATAATGTATAAGATTCGAAATCCAAATTACATTAAATATTATAAAATATAGATTCAAATTTTATTTTAATAATATCCAACACATTGTTTTCACACCAGAACATCTTTAAAACCCCAACAATTTATTTAATATATTTTTTCTGTAGGTGTTTTTTATGGCCTTTCAAGAGATTGCTAATGTATATGATATAATGTCAATGTCTTTTTTTTTTGTAAAATAATAATCTAAACCCAACAAGGAGAAGAAGGCCCATGAGATGATGGCATTATGCGGATGATGTGACGTCATTCTCGACCTCCGTCCCCTCGGAGATACGACCAATTTTTTTTGTTTAATGGACCAAAAATGGGTTTATCATATCGCCGACGCCGATGAAATTCTAAATTTACATATGGAATTTAAATAAGTTGGTAATAATTTTTTTCAAAATGTCTCTAAGTCCTTATAATCTCCTCAACGAAGGCGTCCAGGTTACGGCTCGAAGACCCATCACGCGCCACCGCCATCCTAGCCGCCGCCTTCAGCTCCGCTGCCCTCCGCCTCATTTCTCCAGCCGCTGGCCCCTCCGTCACCC